GAGTGTATATCCACACCGGGCAGGCTTGAAAAATATGCCTGGCCACGGCGGGATTCGAACCTACGACCTTTGGATACTAGCCCAATGCTCTTCCAACTGAGCTACGCGGTCAGGACGGTTCAAGTAGTAGGCTAGTATCCAAAGGTCGTAGGTTCGAATCCCGCCGTGGCCAGGCATATTTTTCAAGCCTGCCCGGTGTGGATATACACTCAGAGTAACATCACACAAACATCAACAATACATGTTTGAATGGCGGTAAGCTGCATCTAAATCCTAAAGGTTCTGCATTTTTAGCAACTAGTTTTATTAGATTCCTCAAAGGTGAACAACATGTGAGTCCAAGAAGACCATGTAGAAGTTCCACAGAGGATTTTCATGCCATAGCGAACAAACTGCTGATGACGTTAGGGCCATTCCATTTAATATCCACCCCCCCCCCCTACGGATGAGGTCAGTAAAATTTTAACCCCTAAGAAAAAAAGATCAAAGTGCCGACACAAAACACCCCTCAGAAATTTGTAAATTTTTTGAGTCACCCTTCAGAAAAACTCATCCGTAGGGGGGCTGTGGACATTAAATGGAATTGCCCTTGCTAGCAGGGACCTCTCGAACACTACGTTAACAAGGTATCTGTGACAATTTGTTGCGTGACATAACTAAATCGAAGGGTTTAAAGATTGTCCAGGTTGAACATCTTGCCAGGATCTTGTAAGATCTTACAGGATCTTGTAAGATCTTGTGAAACCATGCTAAGATCGATCAACAAATTATCGTGGCAAGATCTTGCTATGATCTTGGCAAAAATTTCTTATTTTCCTGCCAAGGTCTTGATACATTTTTAAAATAAAGTTAAAGTACACTTTTGTCAAGATCTTGCCATGATCTTTCTAGATCTTGCAATGTTCATTTCAAGATGTCCACAAGATCTTGCCATGATTTTGCTATAGTGTTGTCAAGATTTTGCTGTGATAGTTCAATATCTTGCCACAGTCGTTCAAGATCATTCCATGATCTTGTCAAGATTTCCACAAGATCTTGCCATGATTTTACTTTAATGTTGTCAAGATCTTGCCGTGATAGTTCAATATCTTGCCACGATCGTTCAAGATCGTGCCATGATTTTGTCAAGATTTCCAGAAGATCCTGCCATGATTTTACTATAATGTTGTCAAGATCTTGCCATGATCTTTCAAAATCTTGCCATAATTATGGCAAAATCTTCGTAAGGTCATGGGAATATCATGGCAAGATCTTTGGAAGATCATGGCAAGATCATAACAAGATCATGGCAAGCTCTATGGAAGATCATGGAAATATCATGGCAAGTTCTTCGTAAGATCTTCGTAAGATCATGGCAACATCTTCGTAAGATCATCGCGAGATCTTCGTAAGATCATGGCAAGATCATGGCAAGCTCTTCGTAAGATCATGGGAAGATCATGGCAAGATCTTTGTAAGATCATGGCAAGATCGTGGAGAGATCGTCGTAAGATCATGGCGTCCCAAGATCGTCAACCTGGCTGCTAGCTTGAATATCAATAGTTTATTAAAGCATATAGATGAAATAAGAGTACTTCTTACAGAGTACACCTTTGATATTCTTGCTATCAATGAATCAAAAATAGATAACAGTATATCTGATAATGAATTACATATATTTGGGTATGATATTATTCGGAAAGACCGTAATAGATATGTGGGTGGGGTGGTTTTATATGTCCGTGATAACATACCATTCTCGGAAAGGAAAGATCTAATATAGAAAGATTTTGAGATGGTATGTATTGAAATTAATAGGCCATACAACAAATCACTTTTAATTAATGCTTGGTATAGACCACCAAATTAGAAAACTTACGTTACCAAAATCGGGAAAAACGTCACCCATGGTTAGAGAAGTTAGAGATTTTAAATATTTTGTTCAAAACGACTTTATGCATGATATTTCCCAACTACATTAGGATTCTATAAATTAATTTGCCAGTCCAAACACGTCCTGGAAGGTGTGGAAATCGCTCTTTCTTGATGCTCTTCATGCACCTCTACGGCAGAAGAGGTTGAGACAGAACCGTGCCATACCATGGATTACACCCCCAAGTTAAACAGCGTATGAGAAAGAGGGATTTCTAGTTTCAACAAAAAACAAGCAATATAGCACGATTCTCAGTCGCAATAGTTGTTCAAAAAATCTGAGCGCAATAACGTGAACATCGAGATCCGTAAGGCAAAGTTAAAATATTTTTGTGAGAAAATTGAGCATTGTACACTTTCTAAAAATGTTAAAGAAAGCTGGTCCTTGATAAATGCCATTTCGGGACGAAAACGTAAATCGCCGAGTGCTAAAGAGCTTTTAATTAATGATACAATTGTTTCTGATGATAAAGTTATTGCTGAATCTTTTAATGATTTTTTTACGAATATAGGAATAAACTTAGCAGCTGAGTCTGTTCAACTCTATAATAAATTGGGTGATGCCGGATCCAAATTTCCACCAACATTGTCCTGGGACTCGTTTTTATTTTTCCGATATCAGTGTGAGTAATGTTGCCTTGCGTCTTCAAAATCTGAAAGCTTCTAAAGCAACCGGTGTTGATAACATACCGGCAAAATTTCTTAAGGCGGCATCACAAATCATCGCTCCATCGTTGACCGTTATATTCAAACAGCCTCTTTGCACTGGTACTTACATAAACGACTGGAAATTAGCTCGAATGTCTCCGATTTATAAATCAGAAGGACGAAAAAAGTGTGAAAATTATCGTCCAATTTCGATTCTACCCATTATGAGCGAAGTATTCGAAAGAGAAGTGCTTACTAAAATATATAAATATCTGAACGAAAACTCGCTATTATCAAAATCTCAATCAGGAATTCGGACCAAAACATGGAACTGTGGGCGCGCTTATTCAGATGTGTGACCAATGGCTTAGTGATATGGATAAAGGCAAAATAAATGGAGTAGTTTTTTTGGATATTCGCAAAGCGTTTCATTCTATTAACCATAAGATTTTATTGAGAAAGCTAAAAAATCAATTCGGAATACATGAAATTGAACTGAAATGGTTTGAGTCCTACCTAACGAATAGAGAGCAAGTTTGCTTGGTAAATGGGCACACATCCTTACCGAAGAAAATAAGATGCCAGCTCACTTGGAAAAAACAACTCAGTATCTCTAGGCAGATGATACTCAAATTTCGTCTTCCTCATATGATTTTGAGACATTAGCTCAAAATTTAAATGATGATCTAAATAATATTCAGAGGTGGCTTTTAAAAATAAGTTTCAACATCATCCCATCAAAACAAAAGTCACGTTTATTGCTTCATCTCATAACCTCATCAATAAAATTGGAAATACGCCAATATTGATTAATAATATCCCAGTCCCTCGAACCAGCAAATATACATGTTTAGGGATGGACATTAACGAAAAATTAACTTGGGATGCACACATCGATTCGATATGTTTTAAAGTCAGTGCTGGAATTGGAGCTATCAAACTTTGTCCCACCTTCAACTGTGCAAACAATTTATAAAGCATTAATTCAAGCCTACTTTGATTGTTGTTCCCCTCTTTGGGATACCTGTGGAAAAATACTTCAAGATAAACTACAAAAATTTCAATCCAGTGCAGCTAGAGTGATTACTGGGGCCAGTTATGATATTAGGTCTACTGATGTTTTGGATGCTCTCGGTTGGCAAACACTTGATGTGAAACGTTTAGAAAATAAATTAATAATGATGTCCAAAATACTTAATAACCACACTGCCCCTAATCTAAACGAGTGTTTCTGCAAAAGAAACACAATCCAATCTAATTATGATTTGCGTAGTAGCGATACAGATCTATGTTTACCTAAGCCTAATAGTGAATATTTAAAGAAAACTTTTCGATATAGTGGTCCCATGCAATGGAGTCATCTTTCTGAGGATTCAAAAAATTCTGAAACCCTTCTTAAGTTTTTATATAGTTCTTGTAAAGTTTTTATATAATTCCTTTTCTATTATCCTTTGCTTCCTTTTTTTTCTATATAGTTTAACTTGTATGTAGTTTAATGTGTATACTCTTTAATTTGTTAATAGTTATTGTGCGACGTCCTTCATGAAAAGCAGCTCACGTTGATCGAGGCTAGCGTGTTTAAATAAAGTTTTACCATACCATGCGCGTAATGAAGCATTCTTTCCTCAGCGACTATAGCGTCACGAAATGTTTAGTAAATTTTAGGATGATATCCCGAACCTTGGATATACAGTATGTCCATGTGGAACAGTTTGCAGTTGACACATTAATCGGCAACATGTTTTCTTTTTAGTGACAACACAAAACAATTTTGAACTTCTCACAAGGATACGCGTAATGAAGTCTTCGTTTCTCGGCGACTATTCGCTCCATGCATGCTCACAAAACATTAATTAGCTCGATCCGGCCGGCTCTTGGTTGAGGATAAATAGTCGTTTATGTTGTATTACGTTGGTGAACATCTCTAGATTACGTCGAGTGTAGAAGCACAGAGGGCGAGGAAAGTATGTTTCAATATTGTTTTAATTACTATTAATAATATCTGACATGTTTCAATGATATTTTTTATTTTACTTTAAACAAACCCACATCCCAATATATGTCTCCCGAAAACCTACCGAAAACCTACCTTGCGTACTTACACTCTTCATCAAATCACTTGTTTGAACAAAACTTAAAACAATGATAAAATAAAAACGAAAACGACACAAAATCCATTTCATCTTTTGAAGTTGTTGTCAAGTAATCTGTAAATATTTTATTCCTTCAACAAAACCTCTGCTTACCACCTGCCTTGAAAGAAACTTTACCACCCGCACAAAAAATCATAGCGTGAACCGCAGTTATATAGTTCGGATCACGCTGTGATTTTAGGGCTCGCTGACACTGCAACTGCAGAACACCATAGAGTATCATCAATCAAGCAAAACTGATGTGAGGGAGAAGTTGAACATTATTTTTAATTACTAACGCAATGATATTTGTTTGCATGCTTGTTCACAATGGGGTCAAAAAAAAATTAATTGATTCAACTAAAATAGCTAGCAGAATTGAATACCCCGTTGCGATTGGCAAATGTCAAACCAAATATATGAAGTAGCTAGCTCTACTGTATTCTATAACTCGGCTCTTAAGAGGCGGCTCTTAGGCGATTGCAGCTTATCGAAGGTATAAAGGCTATAGATCTAACACAACTCACAAATTTTATAATTTTATGTGATGACTCATCGTGTATAATTATAAAATATCACATTCTGCAGGCCTTGTTCAGTTGGTGACGTTTCTGATGCTGAATTAGTGACTGTGCCTAATTGTCAAAAACAACTACCGTATTGCCATCAATTTTTTGCGTGAGGTTGCATATCACATAGAACTGCTAATGTGAAAGTGAAGACAAGAAAATCAAAAGCATTAGCTAAAAACCAACAACAACCTAACAATAAGCTAAAAAATTTGCGCATAAAACCACCCACACAGCAAAAAATCAATTTCTTAAGAAAAATTATTTTCTTAATTTAAGAAAATATTTTCTTAAAATAAGAAACTTATTTCTTAAGAAAACTTCTTTTCTTAATTTAAGAAAATGTTTTCTCAAAATGAGAAAATCATTTCTTAAGAAAAAAATTATTCTTAATTTAAGAAAACTGTTTTCCTAAAATGAGAAAATTATTTCTCAAGAAAAATTATTTCTTGATTTAAGATAACTGTTCTCTTAAAATGAGAAAATTATTTCTTAAAAAAATATTTCTTGATTTAAGATTCCGTTTTCTTAAAATAAGAAAATTATTTCTGAAGAAAAATACTTCGTATATAATATAGTTAATTCCACCTTGGATTGTAAAACAACTATATTTATTTTATTATCCATGATTCCACATATAACTGTTTTCTTAAAATGATAAGTTATTTCCTCTAACTGCATGCATGCTTTATTAAAACGAACCTCGTTTTTCAACATAACTCATAAGACGTTTTCTCTTGAAAATATATACATTAATTAACCGTTTCTTGATTGATGGAATGATTAATTTCCTCAATGCAGATTATCTTTCTCAAAATAAGGGAGTTGTTTTTGCAATATTCTTGAATTAAGTACAAATTGCACCATGCATGCACATGCATATTACGATTTTTAATCGTTATAGTTTCTATATATTTTTTTATACACACAATAATTTCAACCGATCAGGTGTTTCTGTTGTTATTCAGACTCCATATTGTAGTATGAATCGCAATCACATGCATCTCAGCATTTTCATAAAAAGTAAAACCATAATAATTGCCATAATAAGCCAGAGCTTAGAGGACTCTGGGTCTCTCCTCCGCAGAGGCACAGCAGAGGCTTTAGTGAGATACATTTCACTACACTTTACATGGCGGATCTTGGAACACGAGCGTAGCCGCTGGGCGAAGGAGCGCAGGCGACTCTGGGTAAGACGCGGCAATTTGAACTTTGATCCTTCGGCGGTTTGACTTTGGAACAAAGAGCTTATAGTGTAAATTATGGTCGTTAAAAATGTTAATTTTGGACACCTAAACGCATCTTTACTTGGCCAAATTACTTCTGAAGGCATTGGATATGGTCAGATACGGCAAGGTAATGTTTTTTGTTCATATTTTGTGTATTAGAAAGCCCAGTGTTTTGCAACAACCAGTCGATTTCCCGTCGTTGGTAAAACATCTCAAGTCTCGACTCGGCAATTCTCATTGCTCGTACATATTTTCTCAACAAAACACAAAAATGGCCGGGTAATAAATACCGATTATTGTCAGTTAATGCTAAAATCTCAATTATACAAACAACATGCGGTTTGAACGTGCATATATTCAAGACGATATTCTAGCATGCTGTATGTATATGCACATGTATTCAAAATATGTAAAACGACACCAAATAGTGTGCAGTATTCCTGTTTAATTAAATCTGATTTCGTGTCGACCATTGATATATGCTGATTCAAGTATAAACTCGATAGTTCATAGTGTTTAATTGCCGGTATCAAACTTATAATTTTACATTAAAATTTATAGGGGTTGATATTTATGATGTTACTCTGAGTGTGTATCCACACTGGGCAAGCTTGAAAAATATGCCTGGCAAGGGTGGGAATCGAACCTACGACCTTTGGAATACTAGTCCAATGCTCTGCCAACTGAGCTACGCGGTCAGATTGGTTCGAGTATGTGATATTTCGGAACTGACTCTACTTCCTTCGACATCAATGTAATCTAATAATCATGATTTTTTTGTGTGTGTGTTGGGTGTACTCAGGTGAATATGATACCGGTATTTGTGATGTTACTCTGAGTGTGTATCCACACTCGGCAAGCTTGAAAAATATGCCTGGCTACAGTGGGAATCGAACCTACGACCTTTCGAATACTAGCCCAATACTCTGCAAAAAAATCATGATTATTAGATTACCCGACCTGACCGCGTAGCTCAGTTGGCAGAGCATTGGGCTAGTATTCCAAAGGTCGTAGGTTCGATTCCCATGTGGCCAGGCATATTTTTCAAGCTTGCCCGGTGTGGATACTCACTCAGAGTAACATCACAAATATCATATTCACCTGAGTACACAAGACCAACACAAAAAAATCATGTTTATAGGGGTTGTTCATATGAGAATGTCTATATAAGGGGCCTGTTTAAATGGAGGCAAGTTACCCGGCAAGGTGAGTTTATATGATACAACCTGGCAACTCACCTTGGCAAGTTCTGGCAGAAAGACACAAAATCTTGCCCAGGTGAAATGACTTATTTTACCATCCATGTAAACACTTTACTCGGGAAAGGTAGAAATTTGTCTTGCATTTAAAATAATAGCTTACAAATAAATATGAATGATTAGATATCAGCTTTCCTGAATTTCTTGCCATTAATTCTTGTATT